GAGGAACACAGAGTAAATCTTATGAAAAAATATTTTACGCATCGAACCTTACTACGAACGTGTATTGCTATAAGGCAAAGCGCGCGCGCGCACTTCTTCGCGCGCTAATGTAAAAAGAAGGCGGTACTAAGCTCGCAATTTAGGATAAAAATTACCGTGCACATAAATCGACGTTTATCAAAAATAGTAAAAAACTCAATTTGCACACTCTCGAAACGGTCGTCGTCGTCGTCGTCGTCGTCGTCGTGTTTCCTTCGATCGTAAAAATTGGCCACGATTCTTCTTTCTTCGCGACGCGATTGCGACAAAAAGACAGAAATTATTCCCGATTTGATTTCGACCGCGCGCGTTTTTTTTTTTTTTTTTTTTTTTTTTTTTTTTTTTTTTTTTTCGGTCGAACAACAACGGATCTCTCGGATCTCTTGTGATGCGTTTGCTCAACGACTCGAGTCTTCGAATTCCGTGGGATTTAGCGTCGCGAGATCGTACGTGTGTGTGTGTGCCTCTTTCGACGCATTTTGTCCGAGTCTCCTCGATCAAAATCTTTTATCTCTTTCTCGCGACCGGCGAGGCTCGCGCAAACGCGCGCACTATACAACACGACGCCTCACCGCATAACATTTATACACGTATATATATATATATTTATATATATACATATATATATACACGTATTTTATATGCAATGTATATAGTATAAATAATCAATTAAAAATTTTTGCTTTGAAAGTAAGTAAAAATATATATAGATATATATACTCGTATATATAATATATTTTTTTCGTTTTCCTCTTTTCTCTTTCTTTCTTTCTCTCTCTCTCTCTCTCTCTCCTTTCATATTTCTATATAATTTTCACCGCGCACATGTGCGCTTTAATGTGCGCCACGCATACAATATTTACACATAGAGCTTCGTTTTTTATATCTCCCATATATGTATTTATTTTGTGTGTTACGTGTGTGTGTGTGTGTGTGTCTGTGTGTATGCACGAGTGTAAATGTTCGCATGCATGCTGCGCGTATGGTTTAATAATTGTTCTGCGTAAATATAAAAACGTTTTTTTCCCATTGGAAAAGCAGCGACGAGCGCGATTTGCGACAGATTTCGAGACAAATAGAGAAAATACGATACGACAAATTTGTTTTATTTCAGGTCTTTGCGTATCGGCACTTGCACATGCTGTAAAAGAAACAGGTACGCTCGCAGAATATATAAACATATAAAACATACATAAAGAGAACAGAGACTAGCACAAAATTACTTAAAATGTTCTTCGCAGTAGTCGAATTTTTTAATAGCTCAAATTTTTAATCAATTATAAATTTTAATAAAAGTTTTTACTATAAATTTCTCGTTTCAATACACTCTTTTCGCGAAGTATTGTGTTTAGACTTACTTTGAAACATATTAGATCACAATTACGTTTTTTAAACTACGAAATAAATGCAACTACATATGACTACATATGTCGCAGATTTCACATGTGTAAGAGACCGCGGAGAGTTTACACTCCATGGTCGCTTATCGCAAGTCGTATCAGTTGCAACACTCGGAAATCGATAATATCGCAATTGGTCGATTGACAAATGTGATTGATCACATTCGGCGAGTTTTAACGATTATCACTTATGACTTGCGAAAAGCGACCATTGTAGATACAAAACTTCGGATACAAAAAACTGTTTTATAATCATCAATTTTCAATATATATATATATATATATATTCGTAAATTCATTTTCCATTAAAATCTTCACAAAAAATAAATGTACATTAATAAAATATAACAAATATAACATTCGTACTATTTTACATCTCTGATTATCATTTGATAAATGTAATATATTGTAAATGATAAATTATTATTATTATTTATATCGTTAACACATAACATATAACAACAGTACGTAACACTACGTAACATTAAAAAAAAAAAAAAAAA